TATACAGCCACTCAAAAATACAACAAGGAAATTTACACAAGAACAATTTTCAATAATCAATTGCGTTGCCCTTTACTTTAACAGCCTTTAGAAGACGTGTGGGCATACTGTTAGTTAGGTTAAGCAGAACCTGATTGGGTATATTCTCCCATGCAGACAAAATTGCTTCTTTCAGGTCGTTGAGGTTATTATACTGCTTACAATCGCTGTAAATATCGCGTACAATGATGCCCCACAAATTTTCAATGGGATTGAGGTCTGGGGAGCATGCCGGCCAGTTAAGTAACGCTATATTGTTGCTGTGCAGGTACTGTAATGTGGCATTACACCTGTGAATGGAGGCATTGTCTTGCATAAAAGTGAGCCCCTCTCGCCGGTACGGTAAAAAATGATGGCCTAGCAACTCTACATAATCCTGGCTGGTCATTTTGCTTGAAACAAAGGCAAGGGGAAGAGTTTCTGACGAGCTAAATGCACCCCAGACCATTACATTTCCACCACCAAAATTTCTTCTGCTGAAGTGTAACGGTTCCTTGCGCAGATCATGCCAGTAAGAAGCTAAACCATCTGGCCCATCGAGATTGAATTTTTTTATCCGACCACACGATCTAAACGAAAAACCTAGCAGAAATGAGTTAGAAAGTTGAAGAAGCTCAGTACCCGGCTCCAGTCAATCTGTTGTGTGAGTTTTTCTTCGGCGAATGCGAGCCTCTGCTTCTTGTGAAGGTCTGTAAGCTTTGAGCACGGGCTTATCTTAGCTCGGACGATGTTCTCACTTTGTTCCAGCACTCTCAGGATTGTGCGAGTGGTACATGTGAGGCCTAAATCCTTCTGAATCTTCTTCGAACTGGCGGTCGAGATGGACGCAGCCCGGATTATGCGCCTCTTATCGCGATCGCTGACTGATGATGGACGTCCAGGATGATCAGCGCTTCCACAGCTAAATGGATCAGCTGGGTACTTGTCGATAAGCCAGTGACTTTTGCCAATCTCGGCTGCGATGCGACGGTTGGACCAGTTTTGCGAATGTAGGGCCATAGTGCGTCCCTTTTCGAATCCCGATAAAGCTCTACCATGTGGCATGATTCACACTCCGAGGTTGTATCCGTAAGAAAAAAACCGGAGGCAAAACAAAGCCGTGAAGGTATAAAACAAGAGGTGTCTGTATAATTATGACCAACTTTAATTTTGCGATTTTCTACATTTTTCTCAAAATTTCCCTGATGGATAAACTTGACATGCTGATGTTTTAGCATATGATGCACTAATGTAAAAGATACGAAATAGTAAAATTTGGGGGAAATCTGTGTTGTTCAAACCGAGATATAGCCTTTCTTGAAGTGGTTGTATAATTATGTCCAGCACTGTATGAAGCTAAATGTTTGTTTGTCTGTATGTATGTTCGTCTGTATGTATATTTGTCTGTATGTAAGTTTGTCTGTCTGTCTGTCTATCTGTCTGGCTGTCTGTGCGTATGTTCCGAATAGAAAATTCCATTTCTGAACCGATCCGGACCAAACCTGGCACGTTTACATTTCGGCGCCGGGCAGGTATCATAGGCTACTTTTCGTCATTAATGAAATCGATCAATATAGATCGAATGATCGCATAGTAGAAGCGCCTCAAAACTGCTTTCGCTATCTGCTGTTACACTCTCTAAACTAACAAGGGAGGTCCCAAGTGGCAGTCCAAATGGTCTTTCTAAATCAGTCTTATACCACTATGAAGAGCATCAAACATCCAAATCTGATTTCTTTATCTGCCAAGCGTCTCGCCGACTTATGAATATTCTCTTGGTGCAAACAATGAACGCAAAATCAAAGTAAAAACAAATTTTACAGTTTTTTCAGCGCTCAAACAGAGCAGTGTCAACTAACAAGAGTGTAAGAGTGTAAGAGTGTTTTGGACAGAAGGTATTCTTTGATTGGAGTGCTATGATAATTAGCATGGAGCCATATGAGCAATTCTGACAAATTTTGTTCTAATTACGCACTCAATTTTTCAATTCAAAAAACTCCTCATAACCGCATCCAGAGGAGCTTGACAGATAACGAAGACATTTAAAATTAGCGTTCGATGTTCTTTGAAGTCGTATCAGCTTCAAGGTTCAAAGCCACTTCGACCAAAGGGTTGTTTCATACTGCCGCACTGACTGCAGCAGACTGCAGCAGACTGCAGCAGACTGCAGCTGACCGCACTGACGGCAACGGCCGCATAATCGCTGCATCCTTTCGTAAAAGAGAAAATAGTTGCGAATCATCAAAACACCGTGATTTACGCTTTGGAGGTTTATAGATTCTAACTTACTCTTCTCAATCAATTTTTGGCGATTGTTTTTCTTTAATATGCTCATATTTGTTCAAATTCCTTGTGCACTGCACATACCTATTTTACTCCCGCTCGTGTTGTCTATTGGGGCATATGTTGTTAAGAGACTGTTTGAGCTACGACTATTTATCCTCTCCACCTTCACGAAAGGATATAGCGATCTGTGCGGCTCCGCGGTCAGCTGCAGTCTGCTGTAGTCTGCTGCGGTTAGTGCGGCAGTCTGAAATAACTCAAACGGAGCTCCCTTGTAAGTTATGAGCCTCTTTTCGCATCAGTTTTGCAAGGAAGGCACTTGTCGCGGCTCCGCGATGCGAGCGGTTCTAGAAGTAAGAGGCCTGGAGCATTGATTACTCCGCGCTATCTGGCGACGGTACTTTCTCACGCTTGCCGAATCGCCGCCGGACCTCTCCTCGCTTTGGCGCGTTGCCAGCAAAAGGCTATTTATAGCGGCGGCGCCTCATTGCAGCGTCTGTTCGCCTTCGTTTTCGATCAATATTCTTTTCTCGTGTTATTCTATTGTGCTCGTGCCCTGGCAGTTGGCTCCCGCCTTTGAAATCTCTTTCGCAGTAGCGGTCGAGCGTACCGGAAGTTTTACTAGATCAAAACTCAAGCGGGTTTTAGATTCAGTTTGGACGAGCCACTTTCAAAACTTTTGGTGGGATATCAAGATCTTACGAACTTTGGGAGCGGAGAGGCTGTCGCGCTAATCGGCGACGCCCTCTGATCTGTTTAGGTGAAGCCTCGGGAGCATCATTATTGTTGGAGGTTTGTAGACGCGCAACATCGGTAGCATGGGCGGGGCATCCTGTCCCGTGTTGGGGTTTCCTCTACTTTTATTGTAGTTTAGTGTTTTAATGTAGCGTTTGATTGTTTCTTTGTTTTTTAAAGATGAACTGTTAGTGTTATTTTTCTGTTTCTCACGCGCTAGGTTGAAGGTAGGCTAGATGCGTCGTAAGAGTTAAGCGAGCGAGCGCGCACGGGTAACTCGGAAAGTCTGAGTGCTTAGAGCCCACCGAGCCGCCACAGCACTCTCGAAATACTTGAAACTGAAGTTTTCGAATCAAACTCATTTGACACAGGTTATTCATGCCCACCGTAATGTTTTTTGCTTTTACTGCTATTTTTTATCAAATCGGTAAGTTAAGTGCACATTTTGGTTGCGAAAGCGTCGCAACATTTTTCGGAGAACCTTTCAGCAAAATTGAAGACAGATTGATTAGCATTTAAAGACGCATTAATAGCATGCTCCACTTTTATTTCATTTGCAAATATGCTCATTTCAACTTTTCTTGGCCAAAAAATTATCAAATACAAGCTTTTGAAAAGATGCTTATGGTTTGTGAGCAAGATTATCTTCCAAATCAGATTCTGTTTTTCATCTTTTATTTTCAACAGTCTTATTAACACTACTTAACATCATGTGATTATTTTCTTGCGACGCTGCCAAAGGATTAACTTAATGTGCTTTGCACCCTTCGATGACAGTTGCTGCCATCATTCGAAGTTATTGGAGAATCTTTTTCCGAAAATTTCAGAGTAGGGCTATGAAAAATCAAAAAAAAAATCATTGCTGCATTAATTATATTAGCATCGACGATTTGGGAGAACGTAATGGTCGTTAAGGGTGCCACATTGCCAATGCCAGTCCTTTTAGAAACTGAAAATTCAGAGGCTTCACTGATGAAAGTAAGGAGGTTCATCAACTGTGACTCTAAGAAAGAAAAAAGAGGGGATTGTGTAAGGCCCCGGGCAGACTTCACGCGATTTGATCGTCGCGACTGAATCGCGACGAGACAGCTGTTACAACATCATTCCATGCCGATCAACTTGCATTCGGTTGTGATACTTTTCCAGCCCGAAATTTTTGAATGTGAAATGGAAATGAATGGAAATCTTGGCGATTAGATCGCGACGATTAAGTCGCGTGAAGTCTGTCCGGGGCCTAAGGCCTAACCCTGTGAAGCGTTACATCCACGCAACTTGGCGATTCTTCAGATGTTTGCAGATTAACCGTGCGCGAGTTTGAAATGTATAGGCACATAGCTTTTGTAGATCGACGCAAACGCACGAAGCCTGGCCCGAGCAAACGCGCTTACGACCAACTATAAAAAGTTATTGCAGTGCGAAATCGCGCAGCGACCTTAGTCGCGTGAGGTATGCCTTAGGCCTAAGCTCGGGTAGAGATGGCGATTTCATTGCCTCGCCTTAATCCAACAAGGTAACAGTTACGAGTCCATTGCATGCCGACCATCTTGCATTTTGGTTGTGATAGTTTTCCGACACGACTAGTTGTGAATATTTATCACAACTGAAATGAAAACTGCTCGGCATGCAATGGACTCGTAGCTGTTGTCTTCTTTGGAGAATTGCGAGGCGATGAAATCGCCTGACTCTGCCCGCGGCTTAAGTTTGCATAATAATTGGAAGACTTAGATTACCCACTCTCATTCGTGCTAAGTCATTCCCCAAAGCGTGAATCTTCCATAGTACAAAAGGTTATCGGTGCAGCACTACAGATGGTCTGACTTCAGTAAACAACATATGAAACGAATTCTTCTGTGACAAATTCTCTTCAAATCCGCTTATCATAAAGATAGACTAATCGGACGTCAACGATCTTGTTCTGATCTCCCAATATATAAGGAGTGTACTACTTTGCTCTTCACTCTATTGTCATACAATATGTACACCATTCTAGCTCTGCTCTCGTTGGTTTACGCAGTTGCGCCAGCACATGTTCCTGTGCATGAAGCGCTTGTGAATTTCAACGGCGTTTGCAAGTGCATGTTGGGTTACACTGCTCTGGTAAGTTTCACCATCTTGACGATATTCTGCTCAAAACTTTCATACTTTTCAGAAATACAACGGATATGGATGCTGGTGCGGCAAAGGTGGTTCGGGTACTCCGGTCGATGGCATTGACGAGTAGGTAAAACTACCAGTCAGATTCGCGGTCATAAAAGGTCACTTCTAGGTGCTGCATGCATCATGACAAATGCTACGACGAGGCTTTGGCAAGCGGTGCATGCAGCAGCACATTCTGGGAGTACATCAATCTGTACAACTGGGCGTGCAACGAAGATACGAAGACTGCGACATGTACGGGTGAGTGATATCGGGCTAACTGTACGCTTCTCAGATTTTTTATTAAGGAAAATACTGCTGCTAAAATATTAGGTTGTAACATAAGTCTTGAGACACTTCAACTTCTTACAACGATAAGTCGTATACTTCATATTCTTAATAGGGCTGCAGGGGGGGGGGGGTAGCATTCGATAGAGCAAAACAAGCTCTACAAGATGGTATGCTAAGCTCTGCACCAGCTTCGAACCACCGTAGGTTTGCACCCAAAATATGAGTCGTACTGAAAGCTCAAAAAACCGCGAAAATTTCATAGCTTCGTTCGAAAAAATCCTACTGATCAACTCGCTTACAAAATTTGCACACCACACCAGACACGCACTTGTACCGTTCCCGTATTTTTTTCTCACCTAGAAACCAAGAAGACGGAATTTTTGTGCTTATTCAAAAAAGAAGGTACGCTGGTTTCCACTTATGTATTTGTATAGCACAAACCCTTAGAAGTATAATCTTGAATTTTCAGCTTTCTATAGGTCCTCTTTGGAAGATTGATTTTAGCATGGAACACTTAAGTGGGGAGAGCTAAATTCTGTAATTTTCGGAAACGAGGGCCTGTGGAAAGCTGAAAATTAACGGTTATACTTCTAAGGGCTTGTATTATTTAACTACATGAGTGGAAACGCGTAGCTTCGCTCTTGTTCAAACGCAAATATTTCTGTTTTCTCGGTTTCTAGGTGAGGAAGAAATACGGGAACGGCACAAGTGCGTGTCTGGTGTGCTGTGCAATTTTTGTAAGCAAGTTGGAGATCAGTAGGATTTTTTTGATCGAAGATATGAACTTCATATTTTGGGTGCAAACTTACGGTGGTTCGAAGCTGATGCAAACTTTTGCATACCAACTTGTAGAGCTTGCTTTGCTCTATCGAATAATACCCTGCAGCCCTATTAAGAATATGAAGTGTACGACTTATCGCCGTAAGAAGTTGAAGTATCTCAAGACTAACATTTCCTGCACTGATTCACGCCCCTTCCACTCAAGTTACCCAAGGCGTGACAAGGCAGAATAAGAAGCTGGAATATCTTGTCATGAGCTCATGGCTATTTGCGCCCCCACAAAAGTTGAACGGTAGGACGTACAAAGCGGATTGAGTGGTTGTGTGTGTCAAAATTTGTCAGTTCATCAAATGTTAAGGGCATTAAGTGATGTGACATGAAGAATCAAAGGGACTTCAAGAGTTAGTACATTATTCGGTGGACTTTTCATTTTGATCCTATACTGATTTGTCATTCGATGCAGCTACCCGTCACCGAAGTGCTAAATGATTTTGTTTCGAGATGAACTAACTCAAAACGAGATGACAAGAACAAAAATGGGATAAGTGAGACGATCACGCTTAGTACAATCTCTACTACATAAACTTGCACTTACATTTTTGTTGCATTAGTTGATATAATCTAGCTTGGCGTCTAATATTTTTTCTTTAGATACGACGGACGCTTGCAATCTAGCTCTTTGCAAATGTGACACTGAATGTGTTAAATGCTGGAGTCAGTATCCGAAACCAGACTCAAAGCCGAAATGCCCCAAGTAAAGGAAATTACCACACACATGGGGACACTGCTCATGGTTACTTAGTCTTCAAAATATTTCATAAGGATTTCCAAATTTTTTTCCATTGATGATTTGATTGTTTGTTTCTGCAAAGGTTTTTTCAAAATCACATGCAATGTCTCCTTACCTCCCATGACTATTTGCGTAAATGTTTCATGCATAAAATATCTGGCAGCATGTGTTGTGAAGAATTATTATACACTATTCAAGCTTGTAGACTATACAGCTACTTCAGAACTCGTAAAGATCTCAATACACAAAAAAACCTTACTCTTTCTTGAAGAGAGGTTGAAACATCCCAAATCCAAGCTCAGTTTCGAAATTCTACGGATCCCTTTTATTGAACCACTATTTTGAAAATGAACAGGCTATTCAGTGGTAAAAACTCAATCGCAATAAATGGTTCTGCGATTTTGACATGATTCTGGAGGTAACAATAAGTGTCGAACTACGAATGAAGGAAGGTTTACTTGGTCTAACAAATGGATAATTCAGCAGCCTCCAATCTCGATATGCCTAGCATCAAATAAAGGAGCTCGGTTTCTGGATAATTTCATATTGTTGATGATTATCCGTTGCACACTTCGGCGAGAATTATAGCGGTAACGAAGAAATCGTCGAGCCTGCTTTTTGCTGGGAACAAAAACTTTGTGATTAGCGAGAATAGGATTTTCCGTATTCAGCCAAGGTTGACAAATCATAAAGAATGCGAGGTTTATCAGTCTTCTTGTATGAAAAGTGGCACATCGAAAACAACTCATCATAAATGCTGTCTCATTCGCACTTACGAGCAAATACGAATTTCACAGGCACCGGCCATTTCTCTTCACCTCTGTAGAGCACATCAATACTACGTCTTTGATCTAGACGGAAGAAAGAGCGGACAGAAGGACGTGCTAGATCGAGCTGGAACCCCATCCTTTGTAGTGAGAGAGTTCTATTCGCAAAGGACCGCAGTAAAGCTCGGCCAGTTCAGATGATCTAAACTGAGGGCCCCTCTTCGTAAGATGAACCAAAGATAAACTGAGTTGATAATTTTCTGGAGGTGGAGAAGGAGTTCTAGAAATGATCTAACAATGAAGAAATTATACGTCAATCAGAACCACTTTGCTTCTAGCAAGTGGTTTTGAAGTTTCAAGTGAATTAAGCATTTGTCTGGTTTGAAAAACGTACAAGTCATGACGATAAATTAAGGTATTACTCGTTAATTGAGATTTGCAACCGATTCCGTAGTTTTTTTTTCATATTATTAGGTCGTTCCGAAAGTAATGTCGCTTTTTTCGAATGAACGCCACTATCCCTGGAATCAACGTTTTTAAGAGATTTTAGGAGCATTCGATGCAGCATTTCTTCCCCTTTCTAATGGTTTTGATTTCACTGCATAATGTTCAATGAGCTCTCGAAAAATTACCAAAATCTGCGACTCATGCTTTTTGCCATGGTCAAGTTCGGCTATTTTTCTAAATTTTTGTACCTAATCTCCGAAAAAGTGCAAGTAGCAGGTAGATAGAGCAAACACTATAGAGCATAGAGTAATTTTTTCATTTCTTTAGCTTGCTTCTCAGAGTTTCTACAATCAATTTCTCAATGTCATCAAATTCCATATTTAGTCAAGTCAAACCTCAAAGAACAACAAGCGGCAAGCGACTCGGGTGTCATCCGATGCAGCTTTTTCTCCAGCGGTTTTTTTTGTCTCCGATATATCAAGTTGTCCGGGATAAAATCATCATAATTCAACTTTTCCAAGGCACCCAAGGTGTACCCGAAATTTTCGAAAGTTGCTAAACGGAAGCGGTGAATGCTCGTTTGGTTTGTAAAATTGCTGCCAAACCATAATCCATCTTTGTAAGTTTCAAAATCCTAAAACTTGTTGGCGTTTGATGCACTTGTGTCTGAGACGAGCCTGCCAAAATTCGGTGGTTCCATCAAAAAATCTGTGCAAAAATTATGACGAGCCGAGCTCTGGAAAGTAGAAAAAAGTTGTGCTGTTTCCTGTAGGGTTTGCTCCACCCATCCATTACTTGGACTCCTCCTGAGTTTGTTATAAAATTTTAGAAAAATTGTGAAAGTTGGCCATCTCAGAAAGCATAGGTCGCAGATTTTGACTCTTTTCTGGAAGCTCATTGAGATTATTGCAACAGCTTCATAAGCTTAGAAAGAGAATGAAATGCTGCATCAAATGCTACCAGAATCTCTTACATATCTTTGTTCCACGAGATGTGGCATACGTTTGAAAAAAGCGACATTACTTTCGGAACGATCTAATACGTAGATTATAATGTGAGCTGCAAACTGGCCCAAACCGCTGCTTTTAACAAAGTAAAGCAATTATTAATGAAATTCGAGGATCATGGGGCTGTGAACAAAAGCGGTTCGCAACCTAGAACACGCACGGCAATTCGAAATTATATTGATTGATGCATTGTTGATTGTTGATTTGTATTGTTGTTGTTGTTGTTGATTTATCTAGACCAATGAAAGGGGAATAGAATTTGATGACAAATCAAGATCTGTCATCCTCACAGAGTATTGAACGTGGCTTTACGCAAGGCTGGTGGAGGACAAGAGTTCGGAGTCTCAGATTTCGCCGAGACTGCATAGTAGGATTATTCGACTTGCCGAACACGAATATCGTAATTAATCAGAGTAACGTTCCTTTTCGTTCTTAAGCTATGGCTTCATCTTGTAAATTCGTTGTTATTTCACAAAAGGCCCTAAGATGTGAAATCGGTTACGTGTGCGTGGTCACCAGATAACCCCCTAGGCCAAGTTTTAGCCAAAGTTGTGATTAAGTAACATTTTCCTGTCACGTAGCGATACTTACCGTGACCCTCCGCGACGTCAGAATTTGGCCAGAACGGTAGGTAGCTACACCTGGGGCTTATATCATAGACTACATAATTGCAAATTTTGGGTGCGTCGCATTCAATTAACGACATGAATTGAGGAGAATAATTCTAGGGGTAAGGCGCCAAGAAGAATTTTAGTTCAAGCTTTTACTACAAGACATTGATAATTTCTCAATTGAGTTTTAACTTACATGAACTGTAGTTTATTTAGAAGCAATGTTATTTGGAAGCTACAAGGCCATGATCAATTCTCTCTTCAGTAACCGAGTTAATCTTGCAAATACTCTTCTGCTAACAGTTTCTTTCCGTCTGAGATTGTAAAAGTTTTAAAATGAGTAATTGTTGGTGCTACTACATCAAGGCGCTAAAACCTTCTTCTATGTGTGTTTGTCTGCCTTCGCGAAAATTTCTCTGCACAAGGATTATAGAGCGAGTTTCCAGCTTTTGGAGAATTTTGCGCAACGCGTGTCGATTCAGCATACATAAAGACGAGGGGTTCAGTGAGTACCAAAAATTGCATGTTATACGGATAAACACGGTTCTTGACTGATGAGAGAAGGTTACAAGTAGCACTAACGCATAAACCTGCACAAAAACCCTGAAAACGCATAATCGAAATTGTTTTGAGATTATAATTGTAATTGTACTGACTACAAGGAGAGGGCGTACCCAACAATCGCATATGTATCGTGCGGCTTTTTCACTGTTATGTCCTAAAAGTTGACAAATTCAAATATTCAAACGCTTAAATTTTTTTTCAAAAAATCAGTTTGCAAAAGAGCAGCTTGGAATCAGCATTTGAAGCATATACGATTTTTTCCAGTTTGCCAGTGCCACTTGGGTAATCTTCTTTCGAGAGAAATCGAGTTTGTAATTGGACTTTTGAAATGTCAAGCGTTTTTTGGCTCGAAAATTTGCAAAACGTTGATTCAATAAGCAAACAGAAGTATGTTTCTTCGAGAACGCGGCTATGAAAAAATCTTCGTAAACCTCCTGTCATGAAAACACCGAGGCGGTCCTAGATTGAAAATAAGTTGTCTTAGCACAGTTTCTATTGAGTTATCTTCCGATCCGGAGCGCCTTGTTAGTGTAGTTAGTACTAAATATTTTTTGAATGTTCGTATTTGAATGGTTTATTCGAACTATATTTGATTATTCGAATAAAATTTCGAATAAACAACAATTCGAATAAAATCTTTTCATTTATTCGATTTTTCGAATAATCAACTCGATGCAGTTTCATGAGTACTCGAGTTTCCTAGTTTAAATAAATTATTTGTAGCAATATTCGAAAATTCGTTTCAATCTTATTATACATAAAGCTGAGAATAGAAAATTTCATTTCTCAACCGATCCGACCAAACTTGACACACATACACTCCGGGGCGGGGAGGGTGTCATAGACTACTTTTCGTCATCGATCGATATCGATTTTTATCGCTTTTTGCGGAGTTCTACGGGGCTAGGAATTCGCACAGGGGAGTAGTCGAGCATGCTAATTACGAATACAATATTTATTTTTGAAATCATCCACTACTTTTATCGATTTTGTCGATTTTTTTTTGCAAAGTTTGAGCTACGAGACTGGGAGTTGGCACAGGGGGGGGGGGGATCTAGCATGCTGCTTACTAAAACAGCGGGAATAGGGAAATGGCGTGTAGACGTGGGCGCAGGGAATGGTTGTAAGAGGAATACGGATGCTTTATCATAGTGTTTTAAGGGCCGAGCGGACTCGGGCAAGCCAGTTAGTAAAGGATATAGCATTCGGCGTCTTCAACACCTTCTGCGGGCATGCGCCAAACGCACACTACTTCATAGTCGAGGAGGCAACTGTATGCTTGCGAGCCTACTACAGCTATTACCCTAATTTCCTGGGTAAAAGGCGCAGTAGCTTTCACCGCGCGCGGATTGTTGTATGATGAGGTTCGCGATGCGTGACGCCGCACAAGCAGCCTACAGTAACCTCTTTCAACCAGCACTAGCTTTTTGCTCCCGTTCTTTGCTGTTTTTCTCTCAGTAGTGATTTGTTTTAGAACAATTCTCTACCTTTTTTCTATTTTTCAAGAATGGCAAGAATAGAACAAAAACCTCCAAATTATTTGTAGTATCATCGTAGAGGATAGCACACTTTCAGTACCGGGAGCAATATTGAATACGAAGGAAAGCACAAATGTAGGGTGCCATCATTGAAAACAAAAGAAAGAAACATCTAAACACCATAAACACTAATGAGAGCCCTTCCTCCCACCTGTAGAAACAATATCAAAGTATACATTCTGAGCAGAGG